GACCATGTGGCTCCTCTGGCATGGGAACCTTGGGGCGGGGGAGGGGGCAGGGGAGGACTGAGGGCAGGGAAGGAGCTGGTGCTGAGCGTGGGGAAAAGCAGCTCCTCCCTTGCCCCGTGGCCCAGGCTCCCTGCTGTAGCCGCTTGCAGCCTGTGTGGGGCTGTCCTGAGCAGGCACAGGCAGCCTCACGTGGGCTGTGAGCAGCTGTAGCGCAGGGTGCCAGGCATGAGGCAGGTAAGGGGCCACTTTTCCCCTGCACTCAGCACCAGCTTATAACCCGCCCCCACTGCCAGCCTGGGCCCCGCACTGGCTTTGGGCTTGCCTGTTGGGGCTGCGCCATGGCAATAGTAGCTGCTCGGTGCAGAGGAAATCAGCCCCTGGCTTGCCACACCGGGCAATGTTGCCTGCTGCTGCCTGCCTGGAGCTCATGCACCAGGCAGCACAGAGGCAGCAGTGGCAAACACTGTACAGCGTGGCAAGCTGGGGGGGGTGCTGCTTTCCCCTATGCTGAGCAGCTGCTGCGGCGCAGCCCCAGCAGGCAAGCCCAGAGCTGGCGCCAAGCCTAGGATGGCAGCGGGGCCAGGTTACAAGTTGGTTCTGAGTGCGGGGGAGGCAGAGCGGCCCTTTGCCTGCCCTGTGGCCGGCGCCCCATGCTGCAGCCACTCGCAGCGCACGTGTGGCTGCCTGTGCCTGTGCCGGCCACGGGGCAGGCGAGGGGCTGCTTTTCCCCGTGCTCAGCACCGGCTCCTTTCCTGCCAGCAGGCAGGGGGTCGGGGCTGCACGCTGCCCCCTGCCTGTACCGGGGGCAGGGAGCACTGGGAGCGAGTGGGTACAGGAGTCAGTGGGAGTGTGGGGCCTGCACCGGTGTCCCAGGTTCAGCACTGGTGGGACCCAGAGCAGGGCAGCAGGAGTACAGGGTCCCGGCCAGTAGGGGCTCTATGGAGCCGGGCCAGCTCCCTTGTCTCCCTGCTGGCACAGCTCAGCCCAGCTCCACAGACCCCTGCCAGCCTGTGCCGAGCTCTGGCCCCCACTGGCATTGGTCCCAAGACATTAGGATATTGGTCCCAAGACAGTGACTAGGGGCCAGGGCACCTGTCAAGAGGTAGGGCTATGCATGTGGCCCTCAACAACTTGCCAGAACTGGGTAAGCGGCTCTACGGCCAAAATAATTGCCTGCCTCTTCTCTACAGATGCTGAAATTTTTGCCATATAGTACAGGCTATCATAAGACCCAACAAAGTGTTGTTTTATCCAGTTCCTTGCCCAGTATCTCTCATGGCAGATGCATCTAAGTAAGTCTGGAGTGTACATCTAGACAATCTCCAAATGAAAAATTTTGGTCAAGGAAGAGATGTTTAGATATACATACTGTGTATGTCTTGGAGCAGTTGGTTCAGAGTGAAGCATTACTGCCTTTTTAGCAAGGTATCACCATACAGACACTGATAAACAATACTATAGTATTAAATTACATTACATAAGCAAGCGTGTTTCATAGATTTCATAGATTTTCATAGACATTTGGGCTGGAAGGGACCCCGGAGGATCATCGAGTCCAGCCCTCTGCCCCAGGGGCAGGAAGTCAGCAGGGATCATAGGATCCCAGCAAGATAAGCAGCCAAATGTGTCTTGAAGGCGATCAGAGTGGGTGCTTGAACCGCCTCCGGCGGCAGTCTAATTCCAAAACATGGGGGCTCGGACAGTGAAGAAGTTCTTTGTTATGTCTAGCCTGAATCAGTTGCAGCGGAGTTTGTGACTGTGTTCGATTTTGTCATCCCTTGGGGCGCTCTGGTGAACAGTCGTTCCCCCAGATCCTGATGAGCACCCCTGATAAACTTATAGGTGGCCACCAGATCACCCCTGAGCCTGCGCTTTTCCAGGCTGAAGAGCCCCACGGCTCTCAGCCTCTCATCACAAGGTCTGTTTTCCTGACCTCTGATCATGCGCGTGGCTCTCCTCTGCACCTCTCAAGCTTCTCCGCATCCTTTTTGAATTGCAGAGCCCAAAATGACACAGTACTCCAGCTGCGGCCTCACCAAGGCCGAGTACAACGGGAGAATGACGTTCCGGGATTTACTTGAGAAGTATCTATGGATGCAAGCCAGCGTTTTGCTCCCTTTACTAGCCACAGCATCACACTGAAGGCTCGTGTTCATCTTGTGGTTAATCATGACCCCCAAGTCCCTTTCATTTGTAGTGCTAACCAGCATAGCACTGCCGAGCCTATAAGCATGCTGCAGGTTTTTCCTCCCAAGGTGGAGAACTTTGCATTTTTAGGTGTTGAACACCATTAGGTTCTCGTCTACCCATTTCATGAGCCTGTCAAGATCTGCCTGGATCACCCTCCTGTCCTCAGGTGTGGATGCTTTACCCCAGAGTTTGGTGTTGTCAGCAAACTTGGCCAGTCCGCTTCTGACACCAATGTCCACATCATTGATGAAGATGTTAAATAGTATAGGCCCTAGGACAGAGCCTTGAGGGACCCCACTGGTCACAGCACACCAAGACGATTGGCTCTCATCAACCACCAACCTCTGGGTCATACCGCAGAGCCAATTCCCTAGCCAGCGGGTCATGGTGAGGTCGAGGCTGCAGTTAGCCAGTTTAGCCAAGAGGTGATTGTGGGATACTAGATCAAAGGCTTTTTAAAGTCAAGGTATACAACGTCAATCTCTTCCCCCTTGTCCAGGTGATAAGTCACCTGGTCATAAAAGGAAATGAGATTGGTCAAGCAAGACCTACCCACAACAAACCCATGCTGGGTATCCCTCAGGATATTGCCTTCAACTAGTCTGTTAAGGATGGCCTCTTTGATAATCTTTTCCAGGACCTTCCCCAGGATAGAGGTCAGGCTGATGGGCCTGTAGTTTGCCGGTTCTGCTTTCCTCCCTTTCTTGAAGATAGGATGACATTGGCCCTCTTCCATTCATTGGGACTTCACCAGAGTGCCAAGCGCTCTCAAAGGTCCGTGCCGGGGGCTGAGCTAAGATGCTCGCCAGCTTCCTGAGTACCCTTGGGTGTATCCCATTAGGGCTGGCTGACTTGAAGGTATCCAGCCTGTCATGGTGTTCCTTCACCAGGTCAGCTTCGATGGAGAGCAAGGAATCTCCCTCACCTGGGCCTCCCTGACCCATCGTGGGCAGGGCCATCCCATGGGACTGGTGAAAAACTGATGCGTACCCATTTAGCAAGTTTGCTTTTTCTTGGGCGTCAGTTGCCCCATCTGGTTTAGCAGGGGTCCAGTGTTGCCCTTGCTTTTTTCCACATATCTAAAAAAAGGATTTTTTTTTTTTATTTTCCTTGATATTTGTAGCTAGCTGGAGTTCTATTACAGCCTTGGCTTTCCTGATTAGCTCTCTGCAGGTCCAGACCAGAGCAGAGTATTTCTACTTGGTGGCGGTTCCAGCCCTCCATCCTTTGTAGGTCTTCCTTTTAAGACGTAGGAGGTTCGCCAGTTCCCTGGAGAGCCAAGGGGACAGCTGTGCCCTTTTGCTGCCTTTCATCCAAGATGGGATGGACTTTGCTTGCAGATCCAGGATTGCTCCCTTGAGGAGCAGCTACTCATCCTGAACTCCTGGCACAATGCCCAAACACCCTAATTTGTCACAGGTAAAGCAGGAAAAAAGGGCCCTATCAACTTCCTGCCATTGCAAGGACAGGAAGTAGTTAAAATACACTTGAGAAATCTAGTGAAGAGGACTGTTCCCCCCGCTACAGAGCAGCCCCCACAGTCCATGCCAGTCAGACTGCGAAGTAAAATTCTTTGCTAATATCAAATGTGGTGATCAGTTAGACCCTGAGCAGAATAGCAAATTGTGTAGCCAGGAACCTTTGGGCTTAAATTCCAGCTGAAGCATTGGCAGACCCAATCAAAATCCTTAGCCTTGGTTGTAGCCAACACCCAACATCTACCTTAACACCTGTAACAACAGGAGAAAAACTTCTTTCTGGCCCCATGTGACCACCAGCAAATCCAAAAGCATTGGAAAACAGGATACCCCCATTCTACATAGCAACCTCTGGTGACCACAAACACAACTCCACACATCACACACACTGATTGTAGAGCCAGAACTCCCTGTTCTATCATCCTCTTTCCTCCTCAAATTTGCCCCCTCTTCAATTCTGTTTTATAAGTAAGCTGATTAAAGAGTTCTGTGTAATTCTTCTGATAAGCGTGGTCCTCTTCAATTTCCACCTATGCTGGGCTGCAGAGCTCTTCTCACGGTCTCCAAGTGATTGGGGGGGGGGGCGGTGTCCTGGGCTTTCAGTTATTTCTCTTCACAGCCTGTTCCAGGTATTGCTGTTGTTGGATGATCTCTGACCCATTCTTATCTAGCCTTACTGGCTGTGCCTGGAACCTGAGGCTGCCCCGTGATGGATCCTGTCACACAGCTGAATGTTGGGATCTTGTTATGGGTCGGCCCTGATGTGCTACATTTGTGGCTTGTCTGCGCCTTAAAGATGTTATAAATTATATATGGAATATCTTTGTGCCTCATTTGCTATATTATCGCATCATAAATTGGTTTTAATGTCGCAAGGTTATAGTATATGGCATGATTACCACCTTAATCATGTCCTATAACTAGGCATCTACTTGATTGATGCCTAAACAAAGGGATTTTCTTGGCTTTATTGCAATAGAAAGCTGATTGCATGGGCATTTCCCAGCAGCCCCACCCCTCACCACTAATTGGCGGAGAGGTCCTGGCAGGGAGGAGGGATGAGGGGGCAGCTGACTGCTTGGCTGCTGGCTGCCCTCCGTGTGGCTCTGCCCCTTGCTGCTGATTAGCAGAGGCGCGGGGAGGGGGAGAAAGGAGGAGGGTGGTCACGATCTTGGCTGCTGGCTGCCCTTCATGCCATCCTGCCAGGTGGGGTTTTCCCCTGCCAGGCAGGCTGCAAAGCAGTAAAGACTGCTGGTTTCCACTGAGGGGTCAACATTTTGTTTTTAATTTTTTTTCTTTTTAAGTTGGTTTTGCAGACTGTGGATTTTGTGGTTTCCCCAAAGTCACGAATTAAATAGGGCCCTGCCTGTAAGTAATGTTTGACAGGGTCCTTGCTTTCTCTCTAGAAGTTTGCCATATAACCCAGTTTGAGAAACACACCACTAAAGTACTGAATTCCACAGCATTTTAAGCTTTTTTTTCTACCCCACCACTGGGTTTTGGTTACATGCTTAGGCCTTAACATATTATGGCACTTATCGTTTGTCCTCTTGAGAATGATTGATTGTAAAAATAGGGAATAGAATAGTTTGATTAGGAACTATTGTGCAGATGAAGAATGTACGTGCAAGCCTGTTACTTAAATATTGTTTACATTATCATTCCTTTACAGCAAACTGCAAAAATAATGCTTTGACATCAGGAAGCATTCAGGTAAATGGACATGGAGGTCAGCCTTCAAAACCTCCAGTTAAGAGAGGTCCTGGACGGAAACCGAAAGCAGAGACTAATACCAGTAGCTGTGAAGTGGTGCACAAGAAAAGAGGCAGGAAACCAAAAAAGCTACAAATTGTCGACCAGAAGAATGCAGAGCAGAATACAATCCAGACCACAAGAGACGCAACAGAAGAAGCATCAGCTTCTAATGCATGCAATTCTCTTTCGGAAAATAATGTGAAGGAAGACTTGTTACAAAAAAAAGGCCGTGGGGGTAGAAAGCCAAAAAGAAAGATGAAGTTGCATCAACCAGACTCAGATCTTTTAGTTCCTGTAAACGTTAAGATGCAGACAAGAAGCAGGAGGAAAAAGACAGATGAGCCTGTAGAGGAAGAACGGTCTGAGGAACTTAAAGATTCTGAACCCCACATGAGAACTAGAAACCAGGGTAGGAGGACAGCCTTTTATAATGAAGATGACTCTGAGGAAGAGCAACGGCAGCTATTGTTTGAAGACACCTCTTTAACTTTTGGAACATCTAGCAGAGGCAGAGTCCGAAAGTTGACTGAAAAAGCAAAGGCCAACTTGATTGGTTGGTAATTTTTACCAGACCCTTTACTTTAGAGTGCTGTAAAGCAGGTACAGTTAAGGAACGAGCAGAACAAAGACTTCTGCTTCCCTGCTGCTATTATGGAATAGAAGAATATGTTCTGATTTGAAAAAATTAGCAAAAAAATAAACTGAAAGAACACTTCTTTGAAAGAAATATATATTTTAAACTTTTGCTATTTATTGCCCTCCAAATAATAGGTTATGCATTTCAACAGTCATTTTGTTCATAGCTAAGAATAATTGAAGATCTATAAATAAGCAATTTCTGACTGACTTACAGAAATGAGTTGCTGTAATCTTGAGCACTGCATAATATCTCTGTGTAATTTAAAAAAGTGATAAAACTTTTAATGCCACAAACTGATAACAGAATTCTATTTTTGACCAAGCAAGGTACATTTTTATTGATTGTAGAAGTCATGTCTCCCAGGAAGGCAGATGTTGATAAAGAGTGGCAGTAAATTAAGATTTATATTTCAATTAAAGACAACTGCAAAAATACCAAACTTTGCTAATCTGAAAATGCTTAATTTCAGTAGTGATGGAACATTCAGCTGCAAAAGAAGCATAGCGTGGGCTGTTGTTTATCCAAGTTCTGCCAAACAGAGAGAAAATGTATCACAATATATATATATATATCCACATTGGAAAAAGTTTGACTAATATGTCTAATTTTTCAGACCTTGATTCTTGTATCAATCACTAAATCTCTGTTTATTGTGCCAAAGACTGAAAATCAGTGCAGTGGGAAGCCTTTTCTCTCTTTCTTTCTTTCTCTCTCTCTCTCTCTCTCTCTCTCTCTCTCTCTCTCTCTCTCTCTCTCTCTTCCCCCGCCCCCCTTCTTTCTTTTTTTGTGTCAGTACCGCATACAATTTTCAGTTATAAGGACTGTGTATTGTTCTAAATAGCAAGTTGTTCTAAATTGTTCTGAGATGTATCCTTTTTTGGTACTTATACTAGAAAACAATAATGCACTGGTAGGGTTCTTTGACAGAGATGTTTTAGACAAAATTTATAATTGGTTAAAGGATTCCAAGAAATTACAGGAAAACTATGGGATTATGATGCTTACTTTCTGATCCAGATTGTTATTTCTACAACTTTAGACATGTTTAATAGGCTAAAAATGACTTGCAAAGAAGTGTGTGCATGTGTTTGTGTATGGATATATACACAAACACATGCATAGACAATATTACCCAGGTATAAATTCTTTTTTTCAGGATTTTTTAGATAGCACGAGAATTAAAAAAAAATTTTAAACTCATACTTTATAGTTTAATTTTAAGGAAAAAGATTGGTTATTTTCAATTATTAAAGGTTAAAAAGGCCAAATCACTTTTTATGCAATCATGTTTTATACAGTGGTCTCATTGCACATTGTGTTTTTTCTGCACTTTTTACGGTATACTTATCACGCTGACATAAGTCAATATACACCCTAAAGAAAAATTCCATTTAATGATTGTGCCTTGTATTCTATTATTTCTTGCATCCTTAGTAAAATTAAGTTGTCTATTGTAAATGATAACTATATGACTTAGGGGAATGTATTACTATATGTACTGCTATGGAAAAGAAAGGCAGTTATTTATTTGTTTATGGTACATTTAGTTATTTTATACCTTATAAACAAACTTTAATACCATTTTCTATTGCTTAAAAAGTATTGTCCAGTTTTAAAAGAAGTATAAAGTTAGTAATATTTTCTGAGATCTGGTATGGTACAAAAATGCAACCAAAATTTTCAGATGACACATTATTTTGGAATTTTGGGGTAGTGTGAAAGAATTATGTTGTCTGGATTTGGAGAAGAATAAAAATTTTTTTTTAAAAAAGCATAAAATTAAAACCCAATCCTGAAAAATCTTACTTCTACAAGAATTCTTCATTTTTAAGCCAAGTCTAATGATTTTTAATGCAACTGCCGAAGGAAGGGTTTGCAGAATTAGGACCTTTTGTTTGCACAGATTACCTTTACTTATTCTGGGCCAAATTCTGTGCTCTTTATTTTGTGTTACAAAAAGTCATCTTAAGAAATGTCTAAGCAAGCAGATTTATATTTGGCACCAAGAAGAGAACGTACTTATCATCTATTTACCTGTAATGAATAAAAAATTGGTAACCTATATATTTGGCATTCTTAGAATAGGTTTATATAATTATCTGCATTACACATCTTTATATGAAATTAAGCAAACTATTTTCCAGATTCTGACAGTTTGACTTTGATTCTGAAGTTAGGGAACAGGGTTTTAGTTTGATATTCATTCATATGTATATTTATTTTTTCTAACAGATTTTTTTTCTTTTCAGTTAAAATGCAGTAGTTAAATATATGATATGGTGGAAAAACTATGGTTGTATAGTTAAAAAAGGCAGTTTTTACAGTTTGTAACATTCTTTTTAGTTTTTTGAAATGTAACAGTTAATGTTAAGCAGCTCACTGCTGATCAAGGCAATCAGTTTCAACTGTGTAATTTCCTGATGTTATCTGCATTGTAATATAAAAATTAGAGTATATCTAAAATTCAGCTTCTGTATTTACTCCATTTGTAATAATAATCTAAGGGGCATGTTTATGTAGATATTTATACACAGAAAATACCTGTATGTAAATTTTGGAGAATGGAATAACAAGCATTCCTATGATGTTGTGGGGAAACTATACATCTTAAAAAGGGTAAGAATAGAAGGCCTTATCTGCAGAACATAGATATTGTTCCCCTTCCACAAATACTTGTGACCTTAGCCTATATTTTTTTTAAAAGTTCGCATCTAGAAACATTGACTTTCTTCTTTTAAAATAAAATTAGTGCTTTGGATCGTTTTTTTATAAGAGCAACACTAAAATGTATTAGAAGTAATAACAGATTTATTTAAAAATATATTTTTATAATTTAGTTTCTCTAGGTTGCAAAAGTTTTATTTATGGAACATCAGCATCTTACTGTTTGTCCTTTTAGTTTGGAAGAATGTATTATTTGAAATATTTGCATAATACTGTATCAACACAGAAAAAGAGCTTTTGATAACTAAGTCTTAAGATTTTAAATTTGAGCAATAAATTGTAGTTCAGCCTTTTGAAAGAATTAAAAATATGTAGTTACATGCATGTTCTGAATAATGCCATCTCAAGTACATAACATAATCCAAAACTGGGATATTGAAATTACAGCTGGTGTTTGTTTCACATGCATTGTAAATATTATTACATAGATGTTTTATTCATATACAATCAAACTATAAGCTTACAAACCTGCCAGCAATGAACATCGCTTCATCCATTCATTCAAATACATTGATATTTGACTTTTGATATGGGAATATTCAATTGTTTTCTCTGCTGGTGGCCATTAAAGTCAATATTTACTCCACTGTGGGTAGGTATCTAATATTAGTGCATCCTCTACAGAGGAGAAAACTGCTGTTTCCCAGATAACATTATATTCTAAATGTTTACTTTAATGGCAATCATTGTACCTATACCAACATACTGAGCAAATGTGTACCCAGTCTCTTTTCCATTACTACTGTGTTATCCAGGAATTGAACTTAAGGAACTTCACCACAATATTGTTCAGCATTGTGTCAATATTGACCTAAGGTTCTTTGTGCTTTAACCAGTGACCATAACTTGACAGAAAATGTCTTCCTCTTGTGATTAGACTGCTTTGATATATATTTGCATACATATATTTGTACAGATCGTTTGGTTTGTACATGTGTGATCAGTTTGTTGTTAGAGTTGTAAGATTGAGTTGGTTGAATTTAGTATTACAATGAATTAATATAAGTGAAAACATTCATTTGGTAAAGAACCCTCATGCAGCATGCAGGATGTATTAGAGCTATACAAATAAAAAAAAATAGTGTAGCAGACAGCTTATGCACTGTATTGCTGTACATGTATGTTTCTAATACCAACTCTCGCTTCCTGTTTCTGAGGCTTTTGCCATTTACAAAACTATTACGTAAGCTAAAACAGTACATTCATTTAGTAGGCTTGCTGCAGTTGTATTTAAATCTCTTGCTCACATTTACTTTAAGCATTGATACAGTAAACACTTTGGTACTTGGTTAAAGCTAAGCACGTGTTAAACTGTTTACTGAATCGCACTTAATGGAATAGAATCCTTAGGATTTGGATATGGTAGATAGTCTTAGCCCATCCTTATTAAATGTGTGAGCTCATTTTAAGCATGAATCTAGCTAATATAGTTCAACATATTACTGTTCAAACAATATAGGACTATCCTAGTCAGACCATGTTTAAAACTGTTTTAGCTGAGTGTTCAAAAGAGGTTTGAGTACAGAACTCTAACACTGGTGAAAGCCCAGAAAGGGGCCGTCCAACCTCATCTGGAAACAACAAAAGCTCATTTTCTCTGTTACTTTTTACTACCTAATGAGGCAAAAACAATGTGTAAAATTATTTTATAAAATATTTTTGTCTACTTTCCCTAAAGTTCTTCTAAATAAACAGTTTCCAAGGGGACCTAAATATCAACAGATAAAAGGGCTGTTAGTTTTCTGCTGTAAATTATTGTATATAAATGTGTTTTGTTTCTATGCAGAAGAAATAGCATGTTAAATTTCATATACTTTGGCCAAGTCTGAAATTATTTCTAACATGACAAGCCTGGTATTGACACTTTATATAATTTCAGATCTTTTAAAATAAGGAACACAGATCTGGTGACACTTTCTGTGTTTGGGGAGGAAAATCAGGTAGCTCTTAAACTGAAGTTAACCTCTAGGTTCTTGTGTTTATGCTAATTTTAGTATAGGGGCCATTTTTGCTGTTTAATCTTGCACTGTATTTAAGGGGAAAACACTCCAGTTCAGGAAGGTTAGATTTTCTTAAAAAGGGTACCAGACGAGAAGGATAAGCTTTTGTTTTGAAGGCTACGCAGCATCAAGGCACCCCAGAGAGAATGTATCTTGCAATGAAATCAAGGTAAATAAACACAACTTCCAGGAGCTAGCTTTGATTGATTGTTTGGAAGAAATTATCCTCTGTGGGTCTTGAGGGTAGTAATGGCAAGAGTAGATCTTTGGAACTCCTTTTAATGCAGATAAATACATCAGGAAATTCACTTAATATGGTGTAAACAGTACAGTGTAGGGTAGTATTATACTATGAATTTCTGTCCTTAAGGCAAAGAATTAGCTCATACAAATTGGGAGTAGAAAAGAATGTTAAATTTCAGCACCTACTTTGTACACGTGCATATAAGGCATACACACATAATTTTGAACTTACAATTGTGCATGTTAATTTACAGAAATAATGATGAGACAGATTGCAAAGTTACATTTTTGGACCATATTAGAACTGCAAAACAATGACAGGCAACTTGTTAAAGATCTTGAGTGAATTATTTAAATCCTGTCATGTAATGTTTAGACATGTAGAAAGTAGCTGAACTTTAAGGAAGTGATCTAGAACGGTTAATTTTTGAAACTGACACATTTTCAGATTAAAATAATGCTTATTTTGTACAGAATGATGTAAAACACAAAAATCTGTTGTATGTAATGAGAAACAAACCATTTGAAAACTATAATTCTTTAGCTTTATCAAGGCTTTTTTTTCTTCCAGAAATCTGGATTATCATGTTATAACCTGCGGTATCTCACCAGGATAACAGTGCCCTTTCTTTTTGTACATATTGATTGGGAATTTCTTTACTGTTACGTGGACACTTTCTATGTTAGTTTTGATGCATAATACTTTGAATCCTTTTATACAAACTAGAATGTATGTGTAAGAATTACTGTCACTGCAATGTAGTAACTACAAACTTATTTTTAAATAAATAGAAAACATGTTTTTCTAATCTCCCTACAGTGTGATTTTATTATTATTTTTTTGGTTCTACCTAATGGTCTGACACCTGTATCAATGGGGAAATTGCATTGAATCTGTTAGTTTCAGGAAAGTCTAAAACCAACTTTATTTGACTTTGTGGATGTTTTTTCCAAGAGGATGCTATTCAAAGTGCTATTATCAGTTGATCGTGCAGCATTTTATCCCTGAAGTGATTAAATTGTACCATCTTTCATGGTGAGTTTGGCATTAAATCTTGTGAATCCAGCTGACAGCAAGACACTGATGTTTGTTGAGACTGTGGTCCTCCTGCTACCAGCTTCATTAGCTTACTCCTATGCAGACTGAGAAGTTCTATAGTTTAAAGGTTCTGGGAAGGTGCTCCCAGGGTCACATTTGTATTCCAAAGAGTAGTCGTCATACTAGTCTCATCTGTTTTTAGCAGGAATATGTCCAAGAGCCTTGGAAACCTCAGCTTATCAAGAATTATAGTTTTTGGAAAAGTTCCTGATGACTAAAAAGATGCATCAAGATAGATGCCTCCACACCCCTGTGTGTAGAGAAGTAGTTTTTGTAATTTTGTTTGGTGCAAAAAGAGGTTACAAAAAAGAATAGAGACAACAGTTTGAAAATCTAATTCTTTTATTCCTTGAATTGTATTATCTGCATATTTCTCTTATGGTTGTAAAAAATGTTTGTTTATATTTCGAATACAGCATCCTGTGGATTATTTTTTCCCTCCTGTTCACTGCTTTTCTTTTCCTTTGATTCATCCTTTATAGGAAGCTATATCCTTTTTTTCTCTGCATTTACTCACCTGAAATAGCAGATAAACTACTGAATTACCAACCCTCAGAGCCATGATAAAACCAAATTTCATTGTTAAACTGTGTTGTGAAGGTGAAATTTTCTTCTTTGATTTTTACATAGATAATTTTGTCATACTAAAATTTTCTAAGATGTTACTGCATCCTGTGGCTGCAGAGAGATTTATAACAAGTTCTATTGCAAGTGCCTTTTTTTTTTTTTAAATGCTTATATTTCAGTCTGTTATACCTGGTGGAGTGGGGTGGGAAGGAGAGTGTATTGCAGTGTTTGCATGAGTTTTAATGAACGTGAAATTCCTGCTGATGTTATCAAGGAGAAAATTTCCCCAAAATTGATATTTGTACTGAAAGTTTGTTAAAGAAACTTGTATATGTTTGTGGAGGAGGGGAGGAAGGGGAGGCAGGACAGAGACAAGGGAGATGGAAACTAAGAATTGTTTCCACAATCTAGCACGTAGTAATTAAAGGGTTTGTGTACTTACAGCATTATTTTCCTTAAATTCTTAAGAATTTTTAGGAACAGTGAAGAAAAAAACCTTTAAAAAAGCAGACTTAAACATATTTGGATATTCTACTGTGGTCACTTGGAACTGCAAACACAGTAAGTATTTCAGAAATTTGACCCCCTCTTGCCTAGTAAAAATGTTGCCTGTCAAAATTTTCTGGTACTTGGTTCTACATGATAAATACATTTGGAGGGTTTTTTTCCTCCTTTGGGGCAACTCTTCTCAGTTTTGGGTTTGTTTGTTTTTTGTTTTTTTTTAATTACCTCATTGAAATATTTTTCATCTTCTAAAATGTAATAGGAACGTTTTTGGCTTACTATTTTTAGCATGTTTTAAGCCACTTCGCATCATGTATTGTAAATTTATTGCATTCGTAATCCATCCCTTAGTTTGCCAAGTTCATTATGCTTAATGTATAGTTTATAGAATACTCTCCTTTAAAATTTAATTCCCCAGTATGTTTGGGTTTGGCGTCAATTTTGTTCTTTGGTTATTAAAAAATAAACCAAACTTCTATAGTGTCTAACAAGTAGTAAATTTATTTATAGTTACATTCATATCTTGCCCTATCTGAAAGACTCAGAAGCTTTTTGTGGCAGGGAAATATTAGTGACTTCTTCATTAGAGGCCAATTGTGGCATCCTAATTTATTGTAGTGGTAGGGAACTGAGTGGAAGATGGGTGTATGCTTGCTTTTGAGGTGTCTGCTTTGGACCTTTTCCTGTAACTGACTATACTTTTGGGCAGGGTCTAAGGAAAAGAAAGCAAATTTGATCTGGTATTGTCGGGCATTGTGAAATGTGGTCTCTGATTGCAAAAACACACAGGCAGGAACTGGAGAGGGAGTTTATGCACCTCAAATCATAAAGCTTCTTAGATGTAAGGTAAGTGTCTGGGCTGGTATCCTTGCTGTTGGTGCTCTCAGAGTTAAATGTTTAAAATTCTTAATATACTCTTGTATCCCAAAATCTATTTGTGCTGCTTCAGAGGAAAAAACATTTTGCACAACTAATCCTGTAATCGCAGCTAAAATAAACAGGAAAGAACACCATTTGCTGTTTCCAGGGAAATGGGTTAAATTGACAAAAGGGCCATACCTTTAAAAATCAGTTTGTCTGAAGCATGAGTAAAAATAAAGCAAGTGTCCAGTGGAATCTTTTTGTTCAGAAAACTAAAAATGTAACAGATAATTAGTATGTGCTATTGGGGTGTTTGCCTTGCATTTTGGTAATATGCAAAGTTAATTCTACTGCTAAACTTGAAAACTTTATAAAGCACTTGTCTATTTTTGCAGTGTTTTAGAAATGTATGTACGGCTGGATACATCAGGAAGCCAGGAATCCAAGGTTCTGTGCTTGACTTTTCACTGACTTATTTTTATCTATCAAACAGATTCAACGTTGCTCACTTCAGAGTGTAAGGTGGTGCTGTGAATTTATAGTCTGTAATATTTTGAGATTTTTAGATACCACAAGAAAGAAAGTGAGGACGCAGGATTTGGGACTGCACCTGTTTATGTAGTCACAACCAGACAAGCTGCCTTCAGTTTTCTTCCTCGGTTGGAAGCAAGGAGGAAGAATGGAAACCGACATTGTTTTGTCACCTTGGTGCCACCATAAATATTTTTATGGTGGCACAAAGTGACAGCAAATGGACATCCATATTTTGTTGCATTATAATGGGTTACAACCTCTGACTTGACAGCTTGAACAATTTGCTCCCCATAGCTTTTCTTTCTTACCTCCTAGCTGCTTCTGCCTACCCCTTCAAGTAATGTAATTCTTGCTTCTCAGAGGTCTAATGCTGGGAAAGTCCTAGTTTTCAGTTTAGCTTTCTACAAGGAGAAGGTTCTGCTAGCCAGTCTTCACACTAGCCAGTCCAGTTCTTTTTAGCAGCCAACATTTCCAGACTCTGGATGTGTCAAGAAGTGAAACTTCCCCCAGCTTGCAGGGTTGGTTTCATAGTTTCATAGATTTAGGGTCGGAAGGGACCTAGTAGATCTTCTAGCCCGACCCCCCCGCCAGGGCGGGAGAACAACAAAACCCCAAAACAAGAAATGGGACTCAAATGAGTCCAGCCAGGTAGGCATCCAGCCTCTTCTTAAAGACCCCCAGGGTAGGGGCCAGCACCACTTCCCTTGGAAGTTGGTTCCAGCTCCTAGCCGCCCTAACTGTGAAGTAGTTTTTGCGGATGTCCAATCTATACCTCCTCTCCATCAACTTGTGCCCATTACTCCTTGTTATGCCAGCGGGCGCTAGGGGAAACAGCGTCTCCCCCAAACCCTTCTGGTCCCCCCTAGTGAGTTTATAGATGGTCACCAGGTCCCCCCTCAGCCTTCTCTTGTGGAGGCTGAATAGGTTCAGGTCCCGCAGTCTCTCACTGTAGGGTCTGCCCTGTTGTCCCCGGATCATGCGGGTGGCCCTCCTCTGGACCCTCTCCATGTTGTCCACATCCCTCTTGAAATGGGGCGCACAGAACTGGACACAATACTCCAGCTGTGGCCTGACCAGCGTCGCGTAGAGGGGGAGGATCACCTCCTTGGCTCTACTCGAGATGCACCTGTGGATGCACGACAAGGTCCGGTTAGCCCTGCCAACCATGGCCTCGCATTGTCGGCCCATGTTCATCTTGGAGTCAATAATGACTCCAAGATCTCTTTCTGCTTCTGCACCTGCAGCAGTGTTCTCTTTTCTAATTGGTCTCATTTGACTGGCCCTCAAAATATTTGTCAGTAGTGAAAGGACTTTTAAATGTTCATGTTTTATTATCATACTTATTGATGCAGGAATAAGAAACAGAAATCAAAAGGAAATGTTCCATTTTATTAGACCAAGGGCAATAACCTGAGATTTTTGTTGTTCAAAGAAGTTGTCTTAACATTAAAAAGTTCCTAACGATTTAAGATCTGACTGACTTCCAGTGGGGCTGGTGCAGGCACCTACTCTGGAGATCTTCAGAAGGAGACTGGATGCACACTTTGCTGGGGTTATTGACCCCAGCAGTCTTTCCTGCCCAGAACGGGGGGCTGGGCCTGATCATTTCACAAGGTCCCTTCCAGCCCTAAACTTCTTTGAATCTGTAACTATTTCTCAGCACCTTCAAACCTCACCAAACAATGGAAAATGACATACAGGAACAGATGCTTACTACCTCTTTTCCAACCATCCTAACAGTGTTGTGAGAAACAACAGTATCCTAGTTCATCAGGAAGAAAGAACAAAAAGAGAAGGGGTCAATTGTTGCCACGTAAAAAGGCAGAAGCACATGCTTCATTGTATATAACAAAACACAGTATACATAAAAGATTCACATTTTCTCCTGTGTCAAAAAGAATGGAGGGGTAGGCAAAGCATATTGGTTACTGTAGCTCTGAGGTCTGACCACAATCCTTTCTGAACATTGAGAAGACTATTGAACACTGAACCCTCCAAAATGTAAAGGGTGATTTAAAAATATAATTCTATCCATTTAAAGAGATGCTGTATTAATTTTAATATCACAATCCTTTAAATGCCCTCTTCACTTTTAAGATGAAGTAAGTATAGTCAAATACACTCAACCCTCTGTGACACCTGTAGCCAGCTTATCCTTCTTCTGTTGGTCTTTTCCTTTTGTTATCCCTTCATTTGGATTATAGAAGCAAAGACTTAGCTCATTTTGTATCTAGAATATATCAC